GGGAGACGGGCTGATGCACGAGGTGAGGCCCGCACCTGGGGGCTGGCGTGGGGGCGGGGCGGGGTGTTCCCAGGCTGATCCAGGCTGCGGCCGCTGTGCTCCCCCACAGGTGGTGAACGGGCTCATGGAGCGGCCCGACTGGGAGACCGCCATCCGGAAGCCCCTGTGTAGCCTCCCCGCCGGTTCGGGCAATGCACTGGCAGCTTCTGTGAACCATTATGCCGGGTGAGAACGCAGGGCCAGCGTGGGCCTCAGTTTCCCCTCAGTGCGGGCCCACTGCCTGGTTTTCTAGAAAATCTCATCTTCGAGGGTAACTTCCATTCCCTCTTTGCCCGAGCGCCCACCCTCAGTTCTGGGGCCCTGTCGTGGCTGCCTCTTCCCGCTCCCCACTTCCTGGGAGGAGGTCTGCAGAGGATGCATGAGCCCCTTTCCCCTTGCAGCTACGAGCAGGTGACCAACGAAGAGCTCCTGAACAACTGCACGCTGCTGCTGTGCCGCCGGCGGCTGGCGCCCATGAGCCTGCTGTCCCTGCGCATGGAGTCGGGGCTGCGGGTCTTCTCCGTGCTCAGCCTGGCCTGGGGCTTCATTGCCGACGTGGACATCGAAAGCGAGAAGTTTCGGCGCCTGGGGGAGATGCGCTTCACTGTGGGCACCCTCCTGCGCCTGGCAGCCCTGCGGGTCTACCGGGGCCAGCTGGCCTACCTCCCCGCAGAAAGGGTGGCCTCCAAGGTGCCCGCCTCTCCTGCCCTGGATCGGCAGGACTGGCAGGGCCCCGTGGACACCCACCTCGTGCCCCTGGAGGAGCCGGTGCCCGCTCACTGGACTGTGGTGCCCGAGCAGGACTTCGTGCTGGTGCTGGCGCTGCTGCACTCGCACCTGGGCAGCGAGATGTTTGCGGCCCCCATGGGCCACCGAGCGGCCGGCGCCATGCACCTGTTCTACGTGCGGGCAGGCGTGTCTCGGGCCATGCTGCTGCGCCTCTTCCTGGCCATGGAGAAGGGCAGGCACATGGAGTGCGACTGTCCCTACTTGGTGTATGTGCCCGTGCTGGCCTTCCGCCTGGAGCCCAAGGACGGGAAGGGGATGTTTGCTGTGGACGGGGAGTTGATGGTCAGCGAGGCGGTGCAGGGCCAGGTGCACCCAAACTACATCTGGATGGTCAGTGAGCCTTCATCCCGTCTGGAGCCGCAGCCGCCGCCACCCAGCCAGCAGCCTCCGCGTGTGCTGCCTCCAGAAGATCCCATATGACCCTCGCCTGGCTGTGCCTTACTCTGTCTACTTAGTCATCTGAGCTCAGGGCACTTCCTCCCTCCCTCCCCCAGGCCTGGAGGGCCAGTCCCAGCTCCCACGGGGGAGGAGGACTCCTGTGGGTAGAGGCTGTGCTTCAGAAGGACCTTCTCTGCCCGCCAAAGGCCAGGCTGAGGCCCTGGGCCAGGAGCCCAGCTGGTTTACCCATTGTGGAGGCCACCCTATTGTTCTGGGAGCCCCACCCCATGAATCAAATCCAAATAAAGTGGCATCGCCAGCCTGCTGGTCTGATCCGATGGGCGGGGGAGAGAGTGGGGTCTTGCTCCGGTCGGACTCTAGTGTTTAATGTGAACGAGGCCCAGTGGTGCCTCCTGGATTGGGCAGTCTGTGCTGGTGGGCACAGGTCGAGAGCGGGTCCAGGTATTTTTGCAGGGAGTAAGGCCCAGCCCCAAAGCCGATTATACCTGCTTTGCAGCCAGGGAGCTCAGACACCCGACGTGGGGAGCCAGGCTCGGAGCTGGCGTGCCATTCTTACCGAGGACCACACAGCCAGCCAGTCTCCACCAAAAGCGAAAATGCCTCAAGGAAGGGGCACTGGGGAAACAAGGACCAGAACCTAAAGGGGCAGGCACCTGTTCCCTTCTTAAAGGAGCCTGTCATCTCTCCACAGAGGGCTGTAGGCTGTGCAGCCTCCTCTGCCCTACTGTGCCCTATCCTTGTGGGCACTGTTGGGCAGCAGTTAAAAGGAAGCAGCAGGGAGGGGCAGATGCCAGTCTCCCAACTGGCAGCCATTCTGGCTCATGGCCCGGCAGGTGCTCCCATGCCAGCTCCCAGCACCTGGAAGGTGGCCCACTTCCTGAAACGGGCTCTTCAACAAACACAGCCCTGCCCAGGGGCAGGCATACTGACCCTCCAAAACCTGAGCTCCTTGGGTGACTCCTGGGAACGCAGAAGGCACCGCAGCACCAGGGCAGGGCCAGGGCCAGGGTCTCCTTCCCCGGGGAGGGGGTAAGGTGCCCGGAGGGAAGAAAGGCGACAGAGCCCACACGAATGGCAGAGGCAGGTTTAATGTGCCACCTTGTACACTGTAATGAGCCAAACCAAAAAATGCAAGTAAAAAAAAAGGTTTAATCACACAGCACTTTATACAGATCGTAAGCAGCAGGCATTCACATCGCCACACGGACGGTGCACTGAGGCACGGCCCCCGGCCGCTGGGTGTTCCTCACAGGACGCCGGCCGGCTCCAGTGCCCGGCCCGGCTGGCTCCCCGCTTCCCCGCGGCTGCTGCCTGCCGGGTGGGAATGGCACAGCTCGGTGAGGGGCAGCTGGCGGCAGACAAGACGCATCATGCTTTGGCTTCTTTTTTGCTTGTTTTGTGTTTCTAATAAGAGTTAATATCTTTACTTTTGAAATTTATTTTCTTTCAACCTTAAATATTACATACATACACCAAAAATTACATACCTGCAACGCGCTCAACAGCGTCTCTTAACCTGGAGCTTCACATTATCAAAAGCTTAGAAAACGTGTAAACCTCTGGGCCCGTCGGCGAGGGAGACCCACGCCTGCCCCCTCCCCAGACTGGGCCTGTGGAGTCTAAGCGAAGGGCTGACGGGGCCGCCTCCTCACGGGAGAGAGGGTGGCTCCGTGTACGAGCTACAGGCCACCTCCCCGCATGAGCATTTGGTAGTGGGAGAGGCAGAGTCCGTGGGAGAGGTCCCAGCGCGGCCCAGGCCCTGGATGTGCTGCTGCTCCCGCCCCTGGGGTCCTGGGACAGGCCTGAGCGGGGAGCGGACATCGGCTTCAGTTCAAGCAGGCGAGGCCGTGAAGCCAGAACTGCCCCCAGCCACGTGGGCAGGAAGAGCAAGGCACCTACAGCCGTTTCTTTCCCAGCAGCTCCCAGTCCTCACTGCGTCAGCATGTGAGCCGCCACCTCGCCTGGGTGTCACCCCCAGCCCCCGTCTGCC